GGCTTGTTCACACGATAAAAAAAGAATAGTTGGGTCGGTAAATTTGCGTAGATACGCGCCGAAATGAATAAACATAATATGAATAAAACTAAAATTCTCTTCTAAAAGGTTGCATAAAATCCACACGATTCCTTCTAGTATATTGACTAGAAGGAATCGTGTGGATAGATTTAATACATTTAAATAATACATTAAATACATTTCGTTTTTTATAACCCCATTCAACCACACACATCCATGCAAAAACATATTATGAACATAAATTTTAACCTACATTTTTTAAGTGGTTATAGAGCCGGCCGGCTGGACTCGACTCTTTATTAGGCATTCGATAACCCCTCAATCCTAGATGCCTTCACAATAAAGTCACTCCATACTCAATAAACAATGCAAATTCACAACCATTCACTACAACTGAACATGAATTTTTCTTATCGGGTCACCCCCTCCCGAGATGGCAGAGCGTAAAAATACGTCGTGTAGAAACAATACGAGAACTTGCAGACGAATGTAGTCTGGGCTACGCTATATAAGGTGGGCTACGTCGTTACGCTGAGATACGGCCGTGTAAACACTGAAAAGACGTGTGTTTAGCAGTGAAAAATGGTAATTCCCGAAAATAAACACGAAGGACAAAGATAGAATCAGCTGTGTGGGCGTGTTTGTATCGGGCTATTATGTAAACGAGAGGTCGTCCAGTGGTCGAAACTCGACCAAAAATATGTAATGTACTCACTTATCTATTTTCACCCCACACTGTAAATAAAACATGTGATTGGAGTTTCCTCCATTTGTTTTGATTTTCTGTTTATATTTCGTTGTTATTTCGTAACCAGCATAGCAACGCATAAGATCCATGTTAATTTTTTCAAATTTTTAAACTCATTTTTTGTGCTTATCTTTGAGCCTATTTAAATTTATAAAGGGATTCTGCACACCTACAGGAAAATAGCTTTCCAACGGTATGCGTAGATTTTCCCTACGATTCACACGAGCTGAGAAAAAAGGTTTTAAAGAAACATGCTTGCCTATTAATATATAGATAGATAGATTAGACGCTTCGTGAGCGTGTGTGCGAGTGTGCGTTTGTGGAAATGGTCGTGTTTCGATCTTTTGCTAAGAATCTGTGGAATTTATCATCTTTGCTGTTTGTGTACTGTTATAATAGTTTATGGTAAATATTAGTGTCGATCTTCTTTTACATGTGTTCATGATTTTGGGGTAAAAAGTTTGGCAAACATAACGAAAGTCACGGTCTTACACATTGCATGTACAGTTGGTAAACGTAACTAACACTAATATTTGAAAGTGTCACATAGGAAAATCACTGACAACGTATAAACCATCTGAATAAAGTACTGAATCGATTAAACAAAGGCGAGATGCGTGCCTATGCACAGGGTTATAAGGATGTAAAACTTACAAGGTCTAGTTCCTAGGTCATATGTTGAGACGGTAGATGTGAGCATGTATTGTACGAGTGTATAAATACAACACAATACATACACGATACATGCAAGTACAAGCATAAAATTTATGTGTATTACCTAATGCGATGCTCAATGTGGTGGAAAAACGTTCAAAATAACCGATTTTCACTCAATTTAAACTAGCGTGTTTTTAATTTAATTTGATAATTTTCTGAAGTATGGGTTATTTATTGTATACAGTAACTGTGCTACTGTGGTAACTCAGAAACTGTTAAATTTAGAAACAACATCAAATGGGGGACTTCAACAATTTATGTCATAAAATTTCAAATTTCTCAAGGAACAACTTGTGTTTTAGGATTGCTTTAGAATGGAAATACAATTTTACAACGTTTTATTCTTAACATTTTCCCTCTAAAGCTACTCGTTTCAGAGCTACATCGTGTTACACATTGGAAAGAAATGGCTTGCTTAGTACATTCTGCATCCTGTGCTCCTAAAGGAGTTAAGTTTCCAGAGTAAATGCAAAGAACGAAGAAGTATTCATAGAAAGTTCATAACACGTTAAGAAATAAGTCTACTGTTTTGCAAATGACGGCCATTTCCCAATATGGCGACTAACTTTAAAATTTGAAAACTTTTATTTTATAATCTTTTTACATAAAAGAGGTGTTCCATAATAAATGGACAAAAATATATGCCCCAAAATAATCTGCCATGTCACAATTAACTATCGACGTTTTTGACACACGATGTTAAAAGAACAAAGCAATTAGTTGGACGAACTTGAACCCTGATGTCAACAAAGTAACAAAGATCGACATATTCGTCAGACTCCCAGACCATCAATAAAAAATACAAACCCCCAAAATAATCGTCCATGTCACAATTAACTATCGACATTGTTGCCACACAGTGCTAAAAGAACAAAGCAATTATCGTGCGACCTTGAACCCTGATATCAACAAAGATCGACAGAATCTACAGACCAAAGGTAGACGAGATGCTTCAAGGCAAGGTGTCCTAGGGTCAAGGTACCTCCACTCTAATCTGTCATTATCTCCAGTTTCATAATGTTTAAGCCGAGGTATGTAATTGAAGATTCGCTAGATCGTGCTACGAGATCTAAACGCCGGGTTAGCGAATTTTATGTCTTTTTTCGCGGGTGCAATTTTGGGCCATTGCTCTTGATATTCTTGTCGCAGGACAGCGGAAAGTGAAATAGATTGCTTTGCTATCCATGGTATATTTAGGAGTTCTTTATTTTGAGTTTAACGTGATTACCACATAACATTACGAAAAAATAGTATTTTCAAGAAAAGATTATAATTTAGTATGTTATTGTCATGGTCCTTTTAATTCTATACAAAATTGCATAATCCCAATATATGTGAACATTACGGTTCAAACGTTATTGAAATTCTTGTGATATGCTAAAAAACCTATCGTACAGTGGAGCCTCGATAACAAGTCACCCTTGTTAACATGTATCATTTTCAAATCCACTTGGATTCATTTTACCCCTAATCACATCTTATTGCAAACCTCACCAAGCCTCATTTAATAATCCCCAAGAGTCTTGTTACCGAGATTCTACTGTAGTTCTCACACTGCTTGCCCATTATAAAGGGTTGTTGACAAGCTAATGTGAGAAAGTGTGACTTGCCATGTTCATCAGCAAAACAAACAACCTATGTAGGTTTACTGCCTAGTAGTTGACATTCTGGTGGTGCACACAATTACATTGCCCAGTTAAGGTACGTTATCCAAGGTGTAGGCCTATGTAGAAGATTAGGTCATCTCTGAAGGTAAGCCAGCGTCTTCGTGCCTCCAATAAACCTTGAACAGTCGAATCCTCCTAGAGATCATTCTCCGGAGGCCGTATAGTTTGTTCACGTCATCATGATTAAATCTGTTTTCTTCCTGGTGTATCATCACGCATGCGTTACGCAATTGATTCGCCATTGGCCTTATGGGATCTGAAGGTCGAGGGATTGAAGCAACTTCTTGGCATCACTTGTTTGAAGGTGTTTGGGCCTTGATTAATGTTGTAGGTGTGAATTGGGTAGTGTTCTTGTAGACGCGTTTAAGTGAATTTTTAATCAATGGGAAAATCCTATGTCAGGTTTTTAAAACTGAACTACTTTTTATAGACTCAGGGCTCGTTTGGGGTACGATGGAGGAGGTGCACATTGGAACCACAACTTTCTCTCTCGATTAGTACAGTATTGTTTCTGTGTGAGAGGAATTGATGGAAATCGTGGATGGTGGAAAGGAAAGTCTATAGCTCTTGGTAGTTTTAAGTTTTGGTACCCCAAATTAAAAACATCCAAAATTGGCTATGATTTTACTGAATTGAAATGGGGGAACAAAATTGATTGTATGTACATTTACAAAACACAAATGATTTGTTGAAATGATTTGGTTTGATTTGTTGTACATTTTTTTGTATGTTGGGGATTCAATGGTAATTTTGTTCTTAAATGAAGCCAAAACACCTAGGTGTCAGAAAGTATCTGGAAAATGCATCATGGGCGATTCAATTACATCTCCGTTCCACTAAATAATTAACCCGGTGCAGCACCAACACCGTTCACACAGCAGACAACGTTCGATACCTTGTTAGTGGACACGTGAGTGATCAGACAACGTGTTGACATTGACAAACAATCCGACTTTCAACGGTAGCGCTTGCGTACCAACACGAGCTATTACACACGCATATGCAAGTGCAGACCAGGCCATAAGTCCGGCAACTTTCTTGCCGCACAATACGCAACCGGGAAAGGTTACCGTATTGTTTACTGGCTATGCAATGACGCAAGCCGCGGGCGCGCGTGCGGCCCATTATCGATATATCGATGCCAAAATCGATAACCGGTATAGCGGTCACATTAGGCCACCGTATAGAGATGTTTATGGACTCTCGCTAATTGTAGTCTATCGATATCGATCTATGTAAAACACTGCTATCTTTTAGTCTAAGTCAATTAGTTGTGGTTGTATAGAGGCAATTAGCGCTGTTTACGTAGTGTTTTCAATTGATTGGTTTAAGTTAAAAAGCCCATCATCGATCACTAACAGTATTGGAATGGAGCAAACCATTTGAAACTGGTACAAATAAGTTGTTTACTGGTTCGAAAATAACACTGTTTAAACCATAATCGATTCACAATCATTTAAGTGATCTCATGAAGTTATAGTCTGTATGGTGAAACCTGTCTCCTGCGACTCCGTCTATCTGTGGAAAGCCAATGGTTTTAGGCCCGGGCGAGTCTCAGATAGACCTCCGGTTAGGAGACAGTTTCAATCATAAAGACTATAAATTTTGTACTTTAAGCTGATAAATGTTTATTGAAATACTGCCGAGTTCGTTAACCAGATTACTCAGGTTGACTGATACACAATGGTTTATTTTAATGTTTTAATTTCCTTCCACAAGATGCATACTCAGTCTTACTAACGACTTTAGATGGCTGTAAATTTATTTGATTATAACGACCATACGATTTGTCAACTCTACAGCATAACAATAACTCCCTAATTTCTAATTTACATTATTTGTTTCAGATGTAGCAGAGCTGCCGCTGAATACTGCGGAAGATTTTAGTGCCAAGTGTCGTGAAAAAAGCCAAAGTGTTAGTGAATCATGAGTTCTCCATCAAGACGTTCCAGGAGGAGGAGTTTACGCCCAAGTGGCGCGGTGGTGCGAGTGTCGACGTGTCGGAACGTGTCATGAAGGTTGAAGACACGCGTGTTGAGATGGCGAACACGGCCGTGTCCGTGCGGTCGTACCAATCAGCTGAGCGCTGCTCCACCGCGCATTCCTTCTACAAGGGCAGCGTCAGCAGCTGCAGCAAACTGTCAGCTTGCAGCCGTGACGAGAACTTGACTCCGAGGATGTTCTTGGACAGGTATGATCGAAGAGCTCTTCACAATTTGTTATAAGCGGAACATGTTGGAAACTCTTTAAGAATGGAGAATCCAAAGGCAAATTGAAGCCCTAACAGAGTAGCGATTGATTCGGTACTCGCAGAAGATTAGGTCTAAAATGTGCTACTGTACTTTGAATTTTGTATTAGCTTTCGTCGGAACATCTTACATCTTAAAGAAATTGAGAATATACGAGGATAAATTAAAACCCTTAAATAACTAATATTTGGGAGCTAAAGGTAGTTGCTACTTTGTTTAAGTAACAGTTTGTTACCGGAATTGAATTGTTAGTATGTTCAAAATTTGCGTAAGAAACTTAACATGTATGACTCACAACGATTACTCTTCAAAGTAAGCTGAACATGATGGAACATGGAAAAACTGGAAAAAACGTCAAGAATAAACAATAAGCTCGAAAAGAGCCTTAGTGAAATCATGAGTAAATTGTAGTAATCGTGGTAAATTGTTACTTTCAACGAGTTCTGAAGTAGGTGCTACATTGACGTAGTCTCAGAGTACGGTACAAATAATTTTGGAAATTCGAAAATGATATTCTTAAGCTTTTCAGTGCAATTACGTAGAGTATTCAGAAATGTTCACGAACCATATCACCTGTTGGGCAGTGCAAAAGTTACAAACTACAGTTAGTTAATGATGAACACCCTTAACAAATTTGGTTGCACTCTAACATGATAGACCACAAACCTACACAAATATTAAAATTAAACGTTCTTCAACATCTTTGGTTGGTTAAAATTTGAAATATCCAAACCAACATCTACTTCGACAAACACTAGGTCTTCGATGCTTCAAGACACGTGCTGGTGTGACTGACAATGTCCTTGTTTGTTCCAGGTACTCATTGCCGCGGGTGGTGAACATCGTTCCTCAGGAGCCGGTGTCAGTGGACTCCGAGGAGGCCGGTCCCATGGCGCTGCTGCATGGCCAACTCCTCATGTTCAGGCAGTACCGCAGTGGCAAGGTGGAGGCGAGGAGTGAGGTGAAGACCAAGCACGGGTCAGACCTCGTCTCTCTAGTCGTCATACCTGACACCTACCAGGGTAAGAGGTGTTTGTAGCTTGGGGAAAACGTCGACTGTATACTCACTGTAGTCTGTGTGATGGAACATTCCTGATGGGGGTCTACCTGGGACTGACAAATGGTCGCCCGACGAGTCTCAGGTAGACAGTGGTTGTAGTGCTTGTCTAACAATCAAATGGTCACTGGTTCTATCCCGATTAAAGTCAGTAGCTATTCGATGGTTCGAAACTGGACCCAGCTGTTAATTGGGTTATATAAATGTGAATCCTGACAACTGAAACAGCTCATGTAGTCAGTAACAAAGCTACAAAGGTCCTCTCACCCATTTCTATATTCATCCTTCACTAAAAAAAAACGTGGTTCTTAACAGCCTCATCTAACGTGAACTGCTGAATGAGCAGGCGCTTGTTCTTGATGTGAATCAATTATATCAATATCCATGTCGTCACAATTAGAAACTTGTTTCAAGTAACTAAACAAAACATTTGATCAACGTCGATTTTTGTGTTTTTGTAAGGATTTAAAAAAAGTAAACTACGTAGGAAATTACGAGCCAACTCACTGGCAAAAAATCGGGAGAAACAAAAGGTCATTTGCGTTTTAAGCTTCGACCAATAATGTTCCCAAATTTAAATCTCTCACTTGTATAGTATTATTTTGGGTAGGACGTGTGTTGCGCCTTACGTTGAACAATTTATCTATGTTATTGCTATCTTCGCGAGACTGGACAAATCATGAATGTCACGTATCACAATCACATGATGTGAATGTCAACGCAAACAATGAATGACATTTAATCAAAAGCAACATCCCGCGGCGCGGCGATACCATTTAGAGACAGACCATTAGCTTTGATAATCTTAACTCAAGGCTGACAATTTATTGAGTTATCCTTGCCTTGGGCCCAGATTTTGGTCAGATACGCCTTGAGCTCCACTCGCTGAGATAATCCGGTCATCGTCGTTGAATGGGAATGAGGTTTGAGGTGTAACTCCTTTGTTTCAACGTAGGCTTACTACAGATAAAGTAATTAGTTTATCTATGACTAAACGCACGATTCCTAACGCGGTTGTTAATTAAGAACTAAGTTGTATCCTGTATTTTGTACTAAACTCAGGAGCACGGAGCACGTAGTAGGCTATACGTACTCTTTTTCAGGTACCTAAGGAAAATATATATTTTTAATCTAGTCATTAATTACAGTTAGGCTTACTCCTATCATTCCATACATTATACCAAACCGGCAATAAATATTCGCATTATGTGAATTCATTACAGCTATACCATCCTACGCGCACAGAGGTATAATTAACAACGTCAAAAGTATTGATGGATTTTCAATAACCTTCATTACCATTATTGATTGAATTACACATGTTTTCCGTCAGCGGTAACGTGTTATCACGCTGACCTTGCTGAGCGTGTGTGAGTGACGACCGTAGCTGAGACAGGATGTTGTAAACAGAGGCAAGTGAGAAGTGACTCTGGCGTTATGCGTCCCACGAAGCTCGCACGTTGGACTAGGACACCCACGACTACTCTCGCTAGCTAGTTGCAAGTGGAGTTGACCATAATTGCATTTCTCTTGAACAAATCTAACCTCGGATATAATCCTCTTAAGAGGAGAATAATCCTCTTTGGGAAAAGTCTAGGTCAGATCAATGTATAAAGGATTACTCTAACTATCGAGTAGCAACTGGAGTTGAACATTGTGATACTCTTGAAGAATCTAGTCTCTGAGAATAAGCCCCTTTGGGAAAAGTCTAGCTCAGATCAATGTATAAAGGATGACTCTCGCTATCGAGTAGCAACTGGAGTTGAACATTGTGATACTCTTGAAGAATCTAACCTCGGAGAATAATCCTCTTTGGGAAAAGTATAGGTCAGATCAATGTATAAAGGACGACTCACGCTAGAGAGTAGCAACTGGAGTTGAACATTGTGATACTCTTGAAGAATCTGACCTCGGAGAAAAATCCTCTTTGGAAAAGTCTAGATCAGATCAATGTATAAAGGATGACTCTAGCTAGCGAGTAGCAACTGGAGTTTTGCAATATTATACTCTTTGAGAATCTAACCTCCAAGAATAATCCTATCCGAAAAAATTCTAGCTCAGTCCAATATATGAAGAACCCTCGCTAGCGAGTAGCAACTAGAGTTGAACATAATGATTGTGATTCTCTTGAAGAATCTCTGATAGGATAATCCTCTTATAGAATTGTCTAGCTCAGATCAATATAGACACGAGCTTGCAAAGGAATGATGAATGAAGTGAGCTTAGCTGGTAACGTAGGCGTGGAGTTTAATAGCTAGGTGTGAGGCTAGGGATGGGCTGACGGCTCAACCATCACTCACATGTCTGGCCAGCGACTTATGTAATTGTTCAGAGGGATAAAGACAGAGAGTAGGCTACACATTTCACGTTTTAAACTATATGTAGTTGTATGAATGTTTTGCGTTTGATGGCTTTCTGTAATGTTAGAAAAATTAGTCGCGATTACCCTACTTTTCTTGCTATCCGACCCTCCTTTAAGACGATAAAGCACCGTGAAACCGTGTTCTATTTCCGTGTGTTATGACTGTACGCGTAGTGCCTTTTACCGCCCCTGACTGTACTTGAAAAATACGCGCTGTAGTTTTGGAACATGCACTTGACTGTTCTTTGACATTGTTTTAGCACGTTTCGTCACAAATGTTTAAACCTCATACATAACATATCTTATATAACACGTACCTACCGTTATGAATTTGGGGTTTTCAGTAAGCTAGGAAATATGGCCCTTTGTAAACTATTTAGGCCTACCTTTTTCCTACCCTACGCATCTATAGCGAGTACCTAGACCTGTAGATGAGAAGACGAGTGTCGTATTATCTTAAGAGTCGGCAGGCCCGCTGGCCGTCTTGGATTTTCTGCCCATACCGGCAATTTAATGGTTGATGCATATTACGGCATTGTTTATTATGATAAAAAGTTGCAAAATATCTCATTTTAAAGCTTTTGAAACCGCGGGCGTGATTTGCTTATATACTTTTTAATTTTAATTTGTATTATTTTGTCAAACTTAATTTAAATATATTGACTTAAACTGTGACTTTTTCAACCTCTGAAACAAAAGTTTTAAAACACCGGAAAGCAATTCACACGGAAAATATATATTTAAGAATCATATAAAATCTTCTCCTCGGTAATGAAGCTTACGGTGAATGATTGTCATGCTTCAACGTGAACGCATGTTTTTTGCTGATCGGCGCTACGACAACCACTGTTTAGCCTGACATCTGACGGTCAATAATGCAAAATTATTGACTCCTGATTAATTACAGAAGCCAGAATTAGTGTTTTACTTCGTCGGCTTTATTGTTGGTCGTGACTATGGATTCAAAATGGTAAAATATTGGTTCAAATGAAGGACAAAACCTTGACTAAAATTTGCTTGAAACCTAATACCTTTAGTTAATTTGATGAATGAACTCGTTAACAATGATTTGTTTGTGTTCACATTTCCGCTTGTCCGACTGCCACGGCCGTGCACAGTCGAGACTGTACTAATCAAAGTCAAATAAAATATTCAACTCGTAGTTAACTTGTATCCAATCGTCGATAAAAATATTCCAGCAATAGCTTCAACAACCGTGGGCGACGCAGTGGATAATTCCCCTTCGATTGTGATCTAGTGAAGTAGTCGAGGCCAGTGGACCGGGGAAACTGCCTAACGTCTAATTAAATATTATGAAACATGCGATGATGGCGCGGCGTCATGCTTGCGTGGTCCTCGGATAGGTGAATTGACTCTAAGTGGTCAGTACTGGTATCAGTATGGTCAATAACTTGTAACGAGAGAGAGGCAGAGGCCTAGGCGAGGTCGTGGATGGGATCCACAGTTTTGACCTAACAGCTTATCTGGAAGTGCCAATGCCAATGGTTAACAATGTTATAAGGACATAAGACATGTTAATTTCCAGTAGACATATTACAATGTATTGGAAAATTCAAACATTCTTCATGCAGAGCAGTTGTAAAATTGGGAAGTGTGTTACAGAGTGTACTTTGAAGTCTACAAAGAAAAAAAAATGTCTAAAACTAATATCACAGAGTTTATCACTATCGAGAAGTAAAGAAACATTTGAAATTTAGGAAACATTACAAAATTAGACGGGTTGTACAACAAGGCATTGGGTGAAGGCACAGTTAAGACAATGACAACTAAAAACATAACTTTGATGAAGGAAGGTCAAAAAAGTCTTTGAGTTCGTAAAAATGGTTAACAGCTAGCCATTGGAACACTTTCTGTTTAAAAGAATTATATGGGAGTGAAAACATAAATGTAGGAATCTTATTAATACATTTCATGTGCACTATTTCATAGCTTTTCTTGGATTTCTCCAGTTTAACATAGGGAATGTCAAGATTATATCTGAAACGGGTATTGTGCTGGTGGACATCTTTACGGCAGTTAAAAAACATTCAAATTCTTTAAAATAATTAAGAATAAATAAAAATATACAAGTTAACAACAGTAAGAATTTTAAAATCATTAAAAATTGGTTTATGGTGTTCAACAACATTGACTTTGAACTACGATGCATGACTGAACTACTGTTATAGTTCAGTACTGTATGTGAATTAAATACTGTACTGAAAATACATTCCTTTGTATACAGAGCTGTTATAAATTAAGAACATTAGTGATGATAGATTTGTAACCATCATTACCATTCCATTCTTACTGAATGACTGAATTACATAGATCAGTACGTCAGTGGTAAAGTTACTGAGAGTGACAACCATGAGTGAAGGGGTAATCTGATGATAGTTGAAGAGTTCCAATTAATTTAAAGCATGAACTTTAGTTTGTCAAGAGTGGGTAAGATAAGTATGAGAAACGAGCGTTAACAAAATGCGAAATGATCAAACGTGGGCATCAAGAAGGCCAATCAGAAAAGAATACAATTGAACAACGCACAAATGAACTTCATGCACTGTTTATATGGGTTTTTCGTATTAAATCAAAGGCTGAATGGTAATTATTTTAAAAATTTGTTTTGAAAAAAAAACTTCTACTAGAACTAAATTATACTCCCAGAGATTTAATTATTTTCTGAAAACAAATTAGGTTCAATTTGATTGAGTTGAAAACACTTGAATTTACAATGAAAGCAAAACATGTCGCCATGTGTATTAGTTAGGTTTGCACTAAGAATAAAAATCTGCATAGAGTTTTTTTTGGATAGTAAACATTCTAAGTTTGCATTCACAATTTAATCCTCCTACTTTGTATCCAGCAAACCATTTGTTTTACTAGAGACCCTGAGTGGTGAACCTCTACCTTAACTTTTTCAGCAATGCTAGAACAAATAGCGACTACATTTAAGACTTGAGACTAAGCGTAATCTGTTTGCCACAGGATGGTTCTCGGTGGTGACCGAGCGTGGGCAGGTGAAGGCAAGATGCTACAACTCTGTACATCGTCTGGTCACAGCACAAGTGACAGCTTTCCTCTGCATGAGTGACATTGTGGGGTACACCCTCAACAACCGAACCAGCGCAGGTAAATAGACATTCCGTATATTCTGTAAGAGGTTGATTTATCTTGCATTACTCCATTGGCTGTCCCCGAGGGAATTGACAACCCCAAAATTTCCCTTCAAGGTGCACCCCCTCTCCTAATATAAAACATTTTTGGTTTTAATTTTACTTTGTATGAGAGGGGGCATCTCCCCAAAATAAAATCCTGAGGCCGCCACTGCAATACTTTTTGACCATGAAGAACCGAAAAAAATTAAACTTACTAGGTTACAAAAGGTCATCAGTTAAATCCTGAGAAAAGTCTATAGCTTTTTGTGGTTCAAAACAGGGAGGGGATCAGTTACTGATCCAAGAAAATTTACAGATTTTTGTGCTACTGGACCGCACCAAAAGCTCCTATGCTATAGTTACAGCTTGAATGCAGTGCTCATCTTCTTAATAAAAGATATTAAGTTTGGACTCAACATTTCTGGATCCTCACAAACTATGTATATAATGTACAACGCTTCCTTCTGTTATTCTTATGTAAGTCACTGGCTCATGATAGTGTCACAGTGTTCGGGTCCGATAAACGTTCACCTTCCCAAATGTTCATCTGGCTAACACTATCTGGACATATTGGTTCGATATCAACTGAATTAACAAATCTTTTTCAGATGGAACAAGGCAACAGTACACCAAGACAAACATCAGAAGTGGTCAAGTATTAAAACTGCTTGCTGTCTACCAAGACTTGGCAAACCAGTCCACTCGCAGTAAGAGGCTCTCGTGGCCTCTGATTGGTCGAACGGAGGCTAACAGATACGCTCAGTGTCTCACAAGTACTGACCAGGTAATCATGGTGGTTTTATGGTATAAAAGACCTTGAAAACGTTCAAGAACTCTAAGGAGTACGTCGAAACCCTACTTCACTAAGAGCTAACCACTTACGTGGAATTTTAAGATTTTCTCTGTCTCAGAAAAAGTAAACTAGTTTGCCACTTGCCAGAGATGTATTTGGAGGATGGTGGAGATTCATGTGAAACTTTAGTTCATTAAATATTTTGTCAACATTTTACTTGGTGAATAAGAATAGAAAAGAAGCTAAGGTTACTGAACGTAGAGTATAAAAAAAACTTGGCATAGTTGTGAACAACAACTAACATGAACATGAAATTGTCCTATCTATATAGATTAAGAAGTGTTGATCATTATCAATGTGATAGGGATTTTTATCATGTCCAAATTTTCCCACCATCCTATTTAAACACTAACTGAAAATTATAATTTATCAATAATCTTCTAGAAAGTTGCTTAAGTTTTATTTTTTTCTGGAGGTGCTGTACATTCCTGTTACAACCCATGGACAGTTCTACGCAATCGCCACTGCCAACACGACCAACGATGATACCGTTAGCAAGGTCTACCAACTGAACAAACTGTTGCGGACCTTCCCACTGCCTGTTAGAGTGCGCATCATTTCCATGCAAAAACCGCAAGGTGAGACAGCTGAGTAAACTGCATTTCAATATTAGTGATGTTTTTCTAACTGAGTGGCTGCAGGTCACAAGCTACCAGGCAAAAATCAAATATCACTCCCTCAATCTCCAAATCACATCCTGATTTTCTGACATTGTGACTCAAAATTTTATTCTGAAAAATGGTTCTTTTGTGATGCTAAATACACAAAAAACATTTTGATCAGTTAGTATTCTAAATAGACAAGAGTCTTCAAGCAATATTTGTTAAGCAAGATCAATTTGGTGATTCAAATTGCAAATGCAAATGTATTTTTTTTGTTTTTCATTGAAGCATTTTTTTACTGTAAAAAATTATCAATGTAATAATGTATTACCGACTGAGATCTATAGAGACACTGATTGCTCCCTATGAATTTATAAATTAATTTAAATCCATGCCATAATCACATAAAACTAATGTCTGACATTTCTGTAGGTTCAATGCTTTTGGAAACCTACAAGAAGGAGGATGTGATATTGACTTGCATTCTACCTTCGCGGGACGATGAGACAAGCAGCAGCCAATACAGGTTGTTGGAGATTGACGTCAACTCAAGATTCTACGTTCTTCGCTTGGGTCGTCGGGACTCAGACGAGAGGCGGGTCTTCCAATCGCCATTGGTACAAAACGCTTTGAGGTACTGCAGAGAAAACAGTGACAAATGGTGTAGGCAGCTGAAAGTGATTCATCATATTTACCCGAAGGAGCACTTAGAGAAACAGGAGGAGAAGGAAAAACCGACAACAAAATCAAGGAAAATATCTCTTGGTGATAAGAAAACAGTTAAGTCTGCTTCGTTTCGGTTTTCTGCTTCTATGCCTGAAGATCTACGGCCGATTAATCGGCCGTTACCGAGAAGACCTGATCAGACGTCGTCTAGACCACAGCCGACTCTGAGAGGTGAGGTGGAAGTGCACGACAACCAACACTTGTACTCAAATGTAGCGGAGGAAGTAGAAGAACCACAGTCACTAAGATCTCAGGTGGTCGCAGAGCATCAGATGGTCTGGGCCACTCCAATCAACAACACTTCCCCGGAGAACAGTTCTACCAGGAAACTGGTAGAGAGAACTCCTCCGAAGAGAGACACCCGAGTAACACCTACACCTTCGATAAGCACCAGAGTAACACCTACGCCTTCAATAGGCACCAGAGGAACACCTACGCCTTCAATAGGCACCAGAGTAACACCTACACCTTCGATAGGCACCAGAGTAACACCTACACCTTCGATAGGCACCAGAGGAACACCTACGCCTTCAATAGGCACAAGAGTAACACCTACGCCTTCAATAGGCAGTATAGACGAACGGTTGAGTGAGGAGTTCAAAACTAAAATTGTAGTTCACGGTGTAAGAGTACCCGGTTTTGACGAGAGCAACTATGCGGACAGAAACTCTAAATACAGAGTCGTTCGAAAACCTGTGAATGCTCCTGAGGTGAGGGTGAAACCATTCTACAAAACGCGAGTTCAAATCGGTCCGGATTACTCGGCAGGCTCGGACATTCCTTACTCGGTGGTTGTGGATCAGGTTTCCACCGCTGATGACAATGTTTACGCTGAGATCGGTGACTCCTACCCGACCCACGACAGACGCTACTTCTCTTTCAACTACCAGCGCAGATTGAACCATAGATATGACTACCAGACAGGTGGAAGTGACGGAACATTCTCTGGCACGACGACTTCGTCTTCAAACGCAGAGGAATCATCCGTCTGATGATCAGTTGTGGTTATAAATTCAAGCAATATGTAAACTTAAACAGTTTTGTGTTGATAGTTCAAAATGTGAAGGTTGTTTGACCAAATTATTCTAGAAAAAGATAATTGATAAATTAATTCCATTTATCTCAAATTATTTCTTATAGATCTGCTGTAGAAGCTTTAATACTGCGAATTCACAAATTTGATAATACATCAAGTTTAAATTGCATTATGATTTACAGAAATTTACTTACAAATTTGTGATCTTGAATTAAAATTATAAGAAATACGCCTACCATGATTCAAAAGCAGAAAAATTGAACATTCTTTAGTTAAAGCAGCTTTTCATGATTAGCGATATTTTATAAAATTTATATTGTATTTAATGTTAAAACTAAAAACAGAAACTTTTCTAGAGTGTGTATAAAAAAAATTACTTTTTTTCTTTGGAGTTATCACACAATTCTTGTAAATAGGTTAGTTGTGTAAATACATGTTTTATACATTCAAAATCAATAGATAAATATAGATTTAAAATAAAAAAAACATGAGTAAATGCAATATAAGAAAGTGTTTATACGATGAATTGAAATAAGGCATGAGAATTGAGCTGAGTTTGGAAAATGACAAGTAAAATGTGCTCAAATATTGATATGTACATATTTGCAAAAACCTGTATATACTTTGTGTAGGCCTACTACCTTAGTTGGTCACTGTACTCTTAAATCTAGGCCAGTTTGTCATCTATAATTTTGATCCAAAATCTAAAATCAAATGGAATCTATTACGAATTTGGTGTTGATTTTGTTTGATTTTAAAATTCATATCCCATCAAGTATTTCAAAGTTACATATTGTATTTGAGTTGCTATCATCTCTCAAATTTTAACACGTGTTGACCAACGGTATCTTATTTTGGATTTCCTTTGCATCCCAAACTAGACAAACTAGAAAATGATTAAATTGTGATTAATTCTGACAATAGACTATTTCCGACTTTAAGGTTTGAACCAGTTTCCAAGGGTCAGAACATTCCTATTCCTTTTTACTATAAATGTTGAAAAAAGCAACATTTTTATTGTTGAATCTAACAAAAGGTAATAAAAGTGAATACATATCTCTATCAGTAATACTGATTTTACATTACCACTATGATATTTTCTATTTGTTACCAAATAGTCATGTTGTATATTCATTTGTACAAATAAAAAAAAAATATTTTAAACATACATGTAATTTATTCAACTCCTGCACTCATTTAGTATTGGAGTTGCCTCTGTTTCACCCTGGGCTGTTTAATGCATGAGCTCTGTCACCTGATAAGATGACAAATTACTCTAAATACAATGGTTTTTATCACTCCCAGCTAGTGCTGATGTACTTATGCAAATCAATGTAGTTTAAAACAGTTGTGCATTTCATAAACATGATTGAACAAAGTTGTTGTTCTTTTGCAATAAGACTACGAGTGTTATTGGATCCTAGTAACAGATTTATTTAACAGGGTGGCCACAGAACTGCTAGAAACAAATTTACAAATTTCCCGGGTTTTCCATTTGTGATTAACAGTCGCCAAGTGTGCCTTTTTACTGGGGGTCTATCCACCATTAAAATGTTGAGATTTGCAATAAACTGTTTTACAATAGTGATATTATTTTACTCCTAGGTCTAAAAAAAAAAACCCTAACTAAACTCTGTTCACAAAATTTAGACCGTTGTAGGGGAACCTATTCCACCCCCTCCACCTGACTTTACCTTTGAAACAACAGCTCAACAGCTGAGGTTTGGCAAAACAAGATCAGCTGCATGATATAAACATCACTTAAGTAAACAACAATGTTAACTTCCTTAATGAACTGCTCAAAAGATGGTTTTGTCTATGTTTGGTAGACTTAATATAGAGCACTTTGCAATACCTGGAAAACTTACTAACCTGAAATTATCATTTCTAAATTGGCCATGTAATAATACTGTAATGTACTTTTCCACACTGTAACATAAAACACCAGATTGATATGCTAGGTTCTAGTACCACGGGCTATACAGCGCCAAGTTTCCGGGTAGGCCTCAGTACGTAGATTTGGGTTGGCCTTCCAGGGTTTGCAAATAGATTTTCAATTCACACTTAACTGTGCTGTTGCCTTGGCTGAGGTTTACCGCGTCAGCGATCTTAAGCATCTGGTTTACCACACAGAAGTCGCCGTGGTCCGGATCAATCCTCACGGACCTGTCACTGCCCCATCCACCACAGTGAAACGCGGTGGCCTTCCATGGACACTAGTCGCCACCCCCGAAATTGTTTCTGTGTTCAGCACACGACATACAGCAAGGCGCTTGGGCAGGACATACCAAGTATGAGCAAACTCCCTCTGAGCCTAGGGTTGATGGTCACTCTCCTGTCATCACAGCTGCAGGCCGAGGCCCATTCTACCCCACCTCTCGCCGTAGTAGGCTACGGCTCATTCGGCCTCACCTGGCTGTCGTTGCAGGCTGGGTCTGTCGTAACCTCCACTCCTGCTACTGGAGGCTCGATTGATATTTCCCCTTCGGTCGCCGCTGTGGTCTGAGCATCTGGCTTTGCACACAGACCCCTGCCAGTGCTGTCGTCTGGGAATCCAGCTTATCGCACGGACCCTTTTACTGCCGTGCCGTTGTGCGGTTATCCTGCTCTATGCAGGGACACCTGTCATTGCCGTCGTAAATGTATCCTGCTCGTTGCCACCATATGAGTGTACCTCTCTTTACTTTCTCAACCGACTGTACTGTCGTCTGGGAATCCGTCTCATCACACAGACCCCTGTAACTGCCCCTTATACCGCAGTGAGCCATGTGATGACCTTCCATTATCGTTAGTTGTCATCTCCGAAATCGTCTACATGTCCACAAGTAGTCCCAGGGGAATATGGTTCAACACACAGATCCCAACGTCATCGCGGTACACTGGGGAACTCTACCTGTTGCTGTAGTCGGGGGTCGGATCAACCACCTAACGTCGCAGCTACAGGCTGAGGCTCCGACCTCACCTGGCCTTCGCTGCAGGCTGTGTGTCCATCGTGTCCCCAATCAAGACTACAGCCAGGAGTCATCGGCCCCATTGGTCTCTGCCGTCGTCCTGGGTGTCTGGTTTATTATGCAGACTCATGCCACTGCCCCTTCCACCGCAGTGATCACGATATTAGAGTATAGGATCTTGGCAAATAGAGGTTTTTTTTTTAATTTGCATTTCCTTGACTATAAAAGCATTGTAGAGGAAGAAAAGTCTCACCGACTACTGACATTGGACTATACACAAAACTTTTGTTTTGTCCACTGACTAAGGACCTTTGTGACTCAAGGATTAAGATTTTAACAAAAAAAAAACAGCATATGCAAGTATGGATTGGTAGCCATTTGACAACTTAATAATTATTATGGATACAAACTCCTACTTATTACGACCTAAAGTTAAATTTTAACATACAAATACACAGCACTTTGAGTCCCATATAGTCCCCTCCAGGCCACATATTTACGACATATTACAAGATAAAGGTTTGTAATGTCCAAAACAAAACGATACTAATATAAAAAAGTCTTAAATACTCTTGTTTTATATTTATATTATTAATAAGTTAGGCCAAATAAAACAAAATAGAAAATGAGAGAATTTACCAAAGGTATAACATATTAAGCTAAAGGAGATGGAAGACCTTTACTTACAACTCAGAAGTCGTGAGATGTCCCAATAAATCTACCAATCTGATACGGTCAGGTTAGCAGAAGAAGAAAGATAGAAAATATTCAGAATCTGGAAGTGAAGAAGGAAGTTACTACAAAGAGCAGTAGAGGAAGAGCTTCTAAAAGAAATAAACTTAAGAAGAAAAATACACACATACTAAGAAGAGAGGGATTAAATGTGGCAGTTGCACTAGGTCTAGATAATTCAAGGCCTAAGTTAAAAAAATTTCAAAATGGTTATCATAGGTTTTGAAGGAGAGTATAGTCGTACAAGACATAGTCTATTATTAGTTTAAACCTCCAATAGCTATTTTAAACTTTTTCTGAGAGACTGGCTTATATTTTTTTTATGAAAACCATTTTGTTTTCAATACTAATGTTGATTTCAGATTCATGTCTTTCAATACTTGTGTTGAGAATGTTGAGATAAATCTTAAATTTTGTCATTGGCTAAATTTCTTCTCCGACATAGTCCGTGATATTACCAAGTCTAAATCGTGCATTAGACAATTATAATTTCACTTACTTTATGAATTACTTTGAAGGTTCAATAAAATTTAAAAATAAAAGCCAAACACTTTATCCACAATAATAACATGATTTTCATAACAATCACTTTAAGTTTCTTCAGTGCGAGGTGTAGTTAGTTTTTTCTTCTTCTTTTTGAAGAGTCTAGGTGAACTTTTCCTCTTTTTCTCCTTCTCATTGAGTGTGGATCTCACAGCCTCTATAGCTGACTGTGGTAGGCTGCTTGAGTTGTCAGCCATGTTTGTAGCCGGGTACTTAAGAGAGAAGCCCTTCGGTCGCAGAGAGTGTTTCAGAAGAGTCTTCAACTTGTTTTGCTTGGCTGCAATTTCTTTCTTGATCACCGACGATGCTCGGTCATTCACCTTTTCGGGCCTGAGGTAAAGTTTAGGAAAGGATTTTTTTATAAACTGTAGGAATTGCAATTTTTCCATTTCAAACCGTATATCAAAACTGGATAGATACATCACTTGATCCCAATGCTAAACAAGAAGTACAACAACACATCATGTTGGAGGAAACTAGCTCAGATCCAATGAGTATTGTGTATGTCTAAAATATAAATTAAAGATTAGAAGTGGGCAAGCCTGCGATTTTCCATCGAGCAGAGCTTTTTTTTAATCAAGTCTTTTTATATTACAGTAGAACCTTGATAACAAGACTCTCATGGGGATTATAAAATCAGTCTGGTTATCAAGGTTGACTTCTTATTGAGGTTTGCAGTAACATGTGTTCATAGGTAAAATAAATTCAAGGGGATTTGAAAAATACACAACAACAAGAGTGACTTGTTATCGAGGGTCTTCTTATCGAGGTTCCACTGTATGAGTTTTCCGTAACGCTTAACAATAAGTTAATAAGTCATGAATGTTTTCAAAATGCCAATTTAATTTCAAGATGATCAGTTAAATAAATTGTTATAACAAAATTGACAAAACAAGGAACTGAGTTTAAAATAAATCAATATATTTTTTTCAAAGAGCAATATTATCTGATACAGTAGTAGTAACAGAAACATAATCATTAAATTTGAATATCTCCCCCAGTCAAGAAATATCTTTATCATTTTTTGGGATCACGCAATAACCATAAATATCACTTGCAGTTGCAGAAACATCGTTTCTTCTACGATCACAGAAAAATATTGAAAATCTCCTGCGGAAGCAGAGTAGTTAACGGCGTTATCTGCAATCGCATAATCTCCCCTGACTATTTTAACTCTGCAGTAACATTGTGATAATAAAAGGTCGGCTGGAGCTTGATTTTCTGACTTGGTGCTCGAACTCTCAAGCTTGCATGCTATGCTCGGCTTGGCTCAAAAATCTGCACTCTCCCGTGACCTCAATTAAACATATTATGTTTAACACCTATTTCATAAATTTAATTCAAGATGCTACAAAAGTAAAGGATACTGTTCATCTTGATCCACCACAAGGTCCATCTCCTCGGCCATTTTCTGTACCCAGTTGTAGCTACTGGTCGCCTTCTTGTACTGCAGCTGCAGAATATCTATGTCCCTGGCCAGGTTCACTCTCTGTTTGACAGCGTCCATCAAGTTACTCACCACTGGGAAACTCGGCAGCTCCTTGTCTGACAGACAAAGTAAAGAGTAAAACGGAGTGGACATGACACATATCATTTAGATACACATTAACTCTTCAGATAACTGGAAACTTCAGGATACATTAAGTTTTATTGTATCGACTAAAAAAACCACCAGGAGCATGGATAAAATATAGAGACCGATTTTTTTCATTGTGATGACCTTAGAGGCCAAAAACACAATTTGTTTAGACGTCATGTTTTCATCATCGTCTCCCGCGATTGCGGGAAAATCATGAACATCTCCTGCAGCCATGTAGACTCATTATTGACTCCCGCGGTCACGGAAACGTCATCGTCGTCTTGCACGATCGCGGCAATATCGGTAATTTTTCGGCATTATTGGCGACGGGTTGCGGTGCT